AACAATTGCAATTGGAGAACGAGAATCTCCAGAACGAGATGAAGAAATGCGAGGAGGTAGCGAAATTAACCGAGAAATTAAATTCCATGCAAAATGATTACGCTCATTTGGCTAACGAGGTTGAAACTTTGCGTTTGAGAGAAAGAGAATTAACAGCTTTACAAGTGCGTTTTGCTAAAGTCACAGAAGAGAGCGATGCCTTGAAGAGTCAACACGAAGAGATCCAAGATAATTGCAGAAGATTAGAACACGAAGTGGCTTGTTTACAAGCAGAGAAGAAGGAACTGTTGAATCGCGTAAATGAGAACACCTATGATAATGAAAAACAACAGATTGCAGCACTGTTGGAGGAAAGGACGCGAGAGAACGAGGCCCTGAAAACCAACAACGATCAGTTACTAGCCGAGGTGATCGAATCGCAAAAGAAGTTGCAAAAGAGCATCGATGGCAACAAGGAATCCGTTGATATGGCCAAAGAAACCATAGAAAGTCTGTCTCGTCTAGTCAGCCAGAAGGACGAGGAGATTAATACTCTAAGAAAAACTCTCGAGCTTGCCCAGAATAATACAGAAGTGTCGAACGAATTTCAAACTGTGAAGAACGAAAGGGATGAACTGGTGAAGCTGGTCACCATCAAACATAATGAAAGCTTGCAATATCATGGAGAGATTCAAAAATTGACACATCTACTGAACGAGCAAGTGTTACAGCTTCGAAATTTGATGTCAGAGAAGGATGCAGCTTTATCAGACTTGAAGGAGAAGGAGGCAGAACTTTCTTGGATGAGAAACGAGTTGCAGATGCTTCAGGAACGTTTAAATGAACCAAGTAACAAAAAAATATCTAGAATTGTAGAGAATTCAACTCAAACTTCAGCAGAAATTGCGCTTCTTGATGAAAAGTGCAATGCATTGGAAGCAGCCCTGATTCAAGAACAATCCAATAATAGAATGCTGCAGAATCAGTTAAATGAGAGTCAAATTAAAGAAGCGAATGCAGCCAAGGAATTGGAGAGGCTTAGGACACATCTGGTGGAAATGGAGTCAAATTACACAGAAGAAGCTCTGATCGCGGAAGAGTATAGAAAGGAATTGGAAGCGAAACTGCAACAAGCTGAAGAAAAAGTGAAAAATAGTTCAACAGCGTATACATCTGCTAATATTAGAGCCAATCAACAGGTGGAAACGTTGCAACAACAAATGGCATTGATTATTCAACAAAGAGATGATATTCAAAACAAACTGTCTGCTGCTGAAGATAAAATTCTGTCGCAGACTGCTTCTTTGACTAATTTACAAATTGTCTTGGAACAGTTCCAGCGAGGTAAATATAAAATATATTTATATAGAAACGATAAAATGACTAAAATTTAAATTAAATGTATATTTTTTCATTTCTAGATAAGGAAAAGGATATCGTGGCGGCGACAGAAAGAATTCAAGGAAGGTTGAATGAATCCTATAGGAAACAAGAAGAGCTAGTCAATGATATTACTAATCTTAAGGTACAAATAATGAAGTGATCAAATATTTAACAGAAGATACATGTTTTTTAATTCCTGTTGACAGGAACAATTAGCCGAAGCTAAAGAATGTTTGCAAGCAGCATCCAGATTGAGTGAACAGCTGGATAAAAAAACAGAACGTATTGAACAGCTGAGCCAAGAAGGTACCTCATTTAATAATTACAGAATTTTTATATTTGCCTGCATCTTGTTCCTTTTATCTTCCGCATGATTAGCATTTTTTTTGCAATTCAAATACATTTGAAGCCATTATTTATTAAATAAATCTAATAAATTGTTACATCGATCTCACGTAATTAATTCTCAAACATTAACTAATTATCATTTACAAAAATTATTGCTAAACGAAAGTAAATAATCTCATATATGTGTTTCTCTGGTGTGGTCATAAATATCAGGGGTTTTTGTGTGTTATTTTTAACGCAATTTATAGATGAAAATTTATCAGTTAAAAACAGCAATTAGGCAAGCTCGTATTAAACATTTTAACTGTTTTAATTAATTAATTTTATAACATAAATGGCTAACATTATATCATTTTCAGGATGATTCATTAATTTTTTTATATATTTTAATTTGTTCTTTACGTGCTCTTATTAATGAATCATTCTTACTGAAATTTTACTAATTAAAAACAAACATTATACAGAGACCACATTATAAATATTGTAAACTAATTATAAAAAGTAAGAAAGTACATACAATAGATTTATGCAAAATATGAATGCTTATATACGAATAAATAAACAAAATATCACACCTCTTAATTACAACATACATGCACTGATGACATGGTTGAAATTCACTCTATAATCATCAATTTGAGCGTGACCTGTGACTAATCTGCAAAAGCAAACACATAGACAATCCGGTGGTGTAGTCAAATATCAGCTGGTAATTCTGGGATTTTGACAATAGCCCAGGATTCTTGCTGGTATCCGGCTACGAACCGGACCATCGCCTTAGCGCACTAAATCACATCTTCGTTGGCTCATGCATTACCACTGGTGTTGGTACTACCTTCTCTTTTTTAAATATAAATTCCCATTTACTGGTATAAATTGCTATTAATATACAGGGACCAGAACATGACAAATTTAATTAGATTTCTTTATGTGTAATTCTTGTATTCAATTTAATTCCTGCAATTTATGTCAGAGAACATGATATCCCTTTTTTATATGCTTCAATAAAATAAGCTAAGAATAATGTAATGTTACGATCGAATAATAATCATAAATTATGCCAAATTAAAACACTTACCTCACTGTACATTAAGACACATTATAAGGAAAAAAAATATATAGAACCACATATACATAAAATTTGGTAGCGTTGGAGTGGGTAATCTCATGCGGTAACTGTGAGCGTGTAAATTGTAAAAGCTCATATTACCCCGTGGGGTTTCCCACCCGTTACCATTATCCTACAAGGATGAAAGCATGTAGTTTAAAGCTTTTATTTTGCTAGCAATAATATGTATATTTTCATTTTATCATAATTTATTTAAATTTTTGTAATAATGTACTATTAAATGTAAAATAAGTATAGTCACTTAAAATTGTTTGACTTGTAAGATAAAACTTGAATTTATTGTAACATACTAAAATACTTTTTACTATATTAATGAAGCTTTCTTACTTCTAGTGGCATGCGTGAAAGTTAGTTTGCTAGTATGGCATGATAAATGAAGAATGCAGCATGAACAATTAAGACATGGGTGTGAGTATTACATCAGGTACTGGTGTGATGTTCAGACAACCAGTACTTGTGTTATACTTACGCTCTTGTCTTTTCTGACTTCAAATCTGCCAAGTTTACAACGTCGGAATGCACATGTATAGAAATAAAGCATTCGAAACGCTAAATTTTGTTCTCAAGCAATTAATAATTTCGCTGATATTATAAGATATATAATATTTCCTTAAATTATGAATTAAAATCTCTCTTTAACAACCCTTTTCTTATGTGTCTTATCATATATTTATAGTGGACAGGCTGTCAAATCTTGTAAACACTGCCGATCGTAGGATAGAAGAAGCTAATCAAAGTGGAGAGGGAAAAGTTGATAAGTTCGTATACAAAATATCTATTAAATGTATCTATTATATATAATATCACTTACACTGTATTGATATCTTTACAGAACTCTCATTAAAAATCTTCTATTGGGTTACCTGTCGTCGTCGGCTGCAGATAAGTCCGCGGTACTCCGAGTATTTTCTACAATTTTGGACTTCAATGAAGCAGAAAGGGATAAAGCCGGGTTGAACAACGCGGCTGTCCAAAATAGTTGGTTTTCACGCTTAAGTAGTGGATCTTCTGTTCCCAACAAGGTAAAATAGCTTTCGTTTTATCACTTACCTTATTGTTTATGTTTAATGCGGAGGAAAAAGTGAGCTGGCTCTCTCTGGATCTTCCTGGATCTCCCGGACTCTCCCTACCTCTACCTTAATACATTGCTAATAAATATAATGCTAAAATATAACATGCAAATATTTGTGTGTTCCAGGATCACGAAACATCCTTGTCAGCTGCATTTGTAAGATTTTTAGAAAGTGAATCAAAGCCAAAACCACAGTTGCCTGCCTTACCAATTCAAACATCAGTACGTATATTCAAATTCTATTTATTTGGATTAAAATAAGATTTATATATTGTTTTGTAGGCTTTACCGCGACCTGGTCACAGTAGACAACATTCTACATCGTCCACGCAATCTACTTTGCTCCTTTCTAACGTAAATCTACCAACATTCCCAGACTTCGTACCAGCCAGAAATACAGGATCAATTTTAAAAGAAGTGTTAAAGGACAGCTGATATTAAAACTTCTAGAATATGTATTTTGTACACTTTAAGACTGTAATGGAAAGCAATGTTTCAAGAATTCCATTTAAAAGGGGTACAGCTAAAGTGGTTACAAATAAACCAGGATCGTTTTTACAGAAGGAGTAAACATTTATTATTTAGTTTCAGTCATGCAAACAATTGGAAGAAGCTTAAAATATGTCAATTAAAAATAATCCGTACTATTGCGTTAAAGCATATTAATGAAGAAATCAAGTCATCTAAAATTCTACAACGAATGAAATAGTAAATAATGTATATTTGCAGTATTAAATCTTTACATATATTTTGTAATACATACTAAAGTTATCCAACCATTTTTCTCTATACTTATCGGTAATGATACATCATTTGTTTGGATAATTTAAATACATTGAGTTTTATGATCATAATTACTTTGTTAGAAATAAATACACTTTGTTCATTTAGTTTTACAATTGTATATAAAAAGATATGTGCTAAAAATAAGTACGAAGTGATGGGGCTAGCAATAAATACGTAATAAATTAATATGTTAAATATACTATTAATAATGCTTCTATTAATTTAAAAAAAGACCTCCCTCAATTTAACAACTCCTTTGTTACCTTAAAAGCTAAAAGGGTAGGGATTATTAAAAGAAAAATATAAGAAATTACGTTTATTTAAACATTGATTTTTAAAACAATACGCTTAAATTATTGTACAAAAAGAAAATTACAGGAGGAAAAGTATGATGTATTAACAAGTAGGAGAGCGGACTATGAAACAGGAACACAAAGTATGAGGTTCAAATTTACAACTAAATACAATATTTAATTCAGTAGCTTATTTCTTCTCCTTCTCCCCCGCTTCTTTCAGCGCAGGTTTACCGGTTTGTTCGATGCTGACGACTCTCTCGTTCTGCTGAATCGCTTTGTCTTTTCTAGGTGCTGTGATCGTAAGTACACCATCAGAAGACAAAGAAGACGACACCTGGTCGATATCGCATTGTTCAGGAATCATGTACTTCCTGACGAACTGCCTCGAAATCCAACCGTGTTCGTCCTGCTTCTCCTCGTGTTTGCCCTCGACGACGACGCATTTGTCGGCGACTTTAACGTTGATTTCCTCAGGTTTGAATTGCTGTACATCCAGAATTACTTGGAATTTATCCTTGTCCGCCTGCACGGTGGATGTGCCGCCTCCTTCGGTGTTCCTCAGGAGTTCACCCCATGGTCTGTAGTAGAGCAGAGGGGTTCTGAAGAATCTTCGGTCCAGCTGGTCCAAGATGGAAGGAGTTCGCAGTTGTTCAGGATACAGGCCCAAACCGAAGTTCTGATCGCAAAGTCGGTGAGGGCGGTTCAAATCCTCCCACCAGTCAGAGAACAACAATGGTACCAAAGACATGTTTCCTTGAATTACTATTTTATTTACTGATTACTTCTCGAAAACTTTGAATTATATACTCGCAGAGCAAGTTCACTTTGATATTAGGCCTTCTCGCTCAGAAAATCTTCTTCACTTCGCTTTGTGAGACACACTGTTGCTGACTGTCGTGGCGCGCGTATTTATACCGTACCGGCCGGTGATAGGTGGAGGATCCAGAACATTCTAAATCCGTAAACATATTCGAGAAAATTCGTTGTTTTATTTAAACCAAAGCAAATTTTCAAGCATGCACATGACTCACCGGCAATTTTATCTTAAAATTGCATCCTATAATTGGACCTATCTATCACCAGTTTGAAAATCAAGCGAAAGTTTTTACTACGCAAGCGCTGTGTACTAGGCGTAGCTAGTGCATATCGTCTAGAAGCGTCGAATTTGTTTTGACAGATCTGCACTTTATTTTTAAATGTTCTTGACAAGAAAAAAAATACCATTCGGGTTTTTTATTACTGTTATTTTTTGCTTAGCTGCACGAAACGTTCCTCATACGAAATCGCTTCTAGAACTTTTATGACACGTAGATTCGTATTGTGGTCAATGTGTTTACAAATTTCTTAGTCATACTGCTCCATATAAAAAATTTTATAATTACTTAAATTTATCTTGTGTTTTGAAAATTGATTATTTTATCAAACATTTACTTCGCTTATCGTCCATACCATCGACAAGAATCGTAAGAAATACGTTTGCGATGTTCATTTATTGATTTTCCAGAAATATTTCTGTTACATCAGAAAAAGATATAAACAATTCATAAGATAAAGAATGATTAACACTTTTTTCACAAAATGGAATGTAATTTTCTTTATTATTAAATTCCACTATAATAACTATAGTTGAATAAAAAAACTTAATCCCTGACGGATTTGTGCCGGTTTGAAAAAGTTCTGTATTTTTCTAGAATCTTCCACGAAGAATTTTTTTTACCCATTAGATACATCATTTTTGTTTATTAATAATTCTGGGACTGTACAAAAACTTATGCGAACGAAAACGTTGCTAAACGTCGAAGATAAATACGTCTCGAAGCATTTTAAAATGAATTACTAGACAGTGTGTCGAAACGATCCATTTAAAAAACAATGCAGTATTTATTTAAAACTGTTGTGGAATATAAATCCTTAAAATTATCATATGAGTTTATAAATATCTTTGTGAAAGTCTGCATACAAATATCACTTTATTCAACAGACTATTTTCTTGTCTTATATTGCTTTCTAAGTATCCTATTACTATTTTTAAAAAAAGCCATGGGAGAATGTAATTAAATACGCATCAAGTTTCATAGATTCAAATATAATTTATTTTTAATTGTTTTCTTTATTGATTAAATTAGAATGTTACAAATTCATCAAAAATTACTGCCAACAAAGTAATATAACATTTTGACCGAATTTTTGGCGCTTTCACGAATGTTCAAGTCATATTTAGACCGGGTATCGGTTGTCGTTGACTAACATCCCTTTCTAGACCTTTCTCAAAGGGAAGCCATTGAGTATTGATTTTCCTCTCGCTAGGTCAAGTAACTCCCTTTAAAGTTTAAACCCAACCCAGCTGTATTTACTAAACATATGCTTATGACCCGTGTCTGAAGTGAAAATTCTATTTATACGTAATGCATTCACACTGTTCTATTTCTGCAGAACGTAAAATAGATCCTTCTCGGCGCTTCCAAGTTTGTCAGCTTACTCATGGTTGGCTGCAAGCCCAAATGCTTTATCGCATCGGTCAACGTACTCTGAACAATTCTAGACACTTTTAGGTGCAAATCGAAGTACGTTTACTATAAGGAACAGGACAAATTGGGCTAATATAATCTACTTATTGATATGATTAAAATCTTTTACTTTTAAAATTTTGACAGTTCATGCTATGTACTCGTGACTTTGATAATTTCTTATTCTAATATTTACTAATCATAGTGTCATACTATTTATAATATGAAAATTATTACAGTAATTTTGTAGAGTATATTACAAATGCTTCTGAACATAATTTTCTCAATAATCTATGTTATCAGTAATGTTATTAAACTTTTTTCCTTTTTATCATTATTCGATTACATCACGTTTGTACGGTAGCATGGCGGCATCCGGTCAGCGTCACGTGCTCGGGATTTTGACATTTAGCTTTCTGTCACTATTCTTTCTTATTTTTACATACTGTGGATTCTTAAAAAAATAATCTATTGTTAAACATGTAAAAATAAAACATTTAAAATTGCAATAGTAATTTTCTTTCATTTTTACTTTGATAACAAATTCTGATTATCATCATCTTTTTATGTTAGTATGAGAAAATAAAAGGAATACAAAATTAGAAGGGGGAATAACAAACAATTTTTATTTTCAATCAAAAGAATAGTTTATTTATTAGAAACAAAACAGTAATACAAAAGTTTATTGTATTGTTTGTACTGGCACATACTGTACAACATTTACAACACTATAAACTATGTTTACAGTGACAACACAAGTGAGAATAATTATGATGAAGGATGATGATTAATGTTAATTTTATGCAGCTTTAACAGTGCCTTTTCTTCCACGCTGAGGTTGCTGCTGCTGTTGCTGCTGTTGTCCTCGTTGCTGAGACTGTTCATCGTTTTGTTGTGGCTCGGACGTATCGTTTTGTTGAGTCTCTGAGGAGTTGGTTAAAGCTGGTTTACCCGTGTATTGAATCTTAATTATCTTTTCAACTGGTTTAGATTTTACAGGTTCTTTCCTGGGGACAGTAATTGTTAAAATACCATCGGACGACAAATGCGACTCTACCTGGTTGATATCGCACTGCGATGGTACTATATACTTTCTGACGAACCGTCTGGAAACCCAGCCGTGTTCGTCCTCTTTTTCAGGGTGCTTAGCCTCGATTACAATGTTTTGATCTACTACTTTAACGTTAATCTCCTCAGGTGCAAATTGTGACACGTCCAAAGTTACTTGAAACTTATCTTTGTCAGCCTGGACAGTGGATGCACCGCGTCCTTGTCGTCTGCCCTTGGAGAATGGATGATAACGTCTTCTTCCTCTTCTAGGCTGTGGGGGTGGTGGTCGGTAGAGAAGAACTTCGGTGTCGAGGAACGGGTCCCAATCCAAAAGATCTCCAGGATCTAATACGGTGCCAAAGTGTTGATCCCATAGACGGTGAGGTCGGTCGAGGTCTTCCCACCAGTCAGAAAACAACATCGGTATCAACGACATCGGGACAGTTCTTGATGACAATTCACAGACACGTAATACGAACTCTAATTGAATTTGCTCGTTTACTATTAGATTACTAGAGCAGTGACTCTATTTATAGAGTAAAAGTATATTATGCAATACGTATGAATCGCAAACTTCTTTGCAACCGATTATTCAGCCGTACCGTTATATCGTTCACACGTGAATCAACCTCCAACAACCAACGCAGTTCGCTTTATAGGGATTCGTTGCGCACTAGGTTGGGTGGTGGGGGTACCAGCGCCTCGTGTTCGAGAACACCCTGGAAAACACCAGAATTGTCCTTGAATACAGTTGTCTTTTTCGTACCAAAGATCAGTTCTGTGTATCCTCAGACCTGCGCAATTTGACGTAAACAAAGTCGTTTCATCGAACACGCTATAACCTACGATAGCCGTTAACGTATTCCCAAACAACACTAAAATGATAGAAGATAAAATGACGTCGAATAGAGCACCATATGACGCGTGTGACGGCTCCGGAAATGGAGGCGTTCCAAAGATTTCAAGGTCAATTTAGTTTTTTTAAATGGGATTGTGTACTTTTCGATATGTCAATCGAAGCGTATTTTTATTTTCCATAAAAAAGTATTAAGATACTTTAATCAAAAATTAATTGGTTAAAAAGATATCTTAAGGAGAGACAGTCTCTTCTTAAGATATAATTTTAATTAATGAATTTTCGTCTCAGGTACCATAGTAATTTCTTGTAGAGAATTAAAATACGCTTCAAGTAACGTATAGATAAATACATATTTTCATTTAATTTTGTCTCGCGAAATTTTTGTCTATCTTTTACCGTTTTAAAGTTGTTATTTGGTTCAGCTGCTTGGGACACCCTATATCGTATACACGTGAAAGGAACAAGTTCTTTAGTTCACGATGGTTTACATCTGGTGTATCTGGTTCTGAGACTGGTTATGTCTTTCTTCATGTTCAGGACCATGCAGTATTCATTTACTATGCTTTTGATACAATTTCTGTACGTAATATGTTACTCAACGTATAACACGTATCTTTCTTAATTAAAAAAAACAAAGTAGTTGCTTATGAATAAATTGTGCATGAATATAGCTCGTTCAGGTCAAGGTAGAGTTCATTCTCGTTCATGCATATGCGGGTTAATGCACTAAACCAATACATGTATCCATACATAAAGGGGTTTTCATACTTGTTAAATAATTGTTTCTACGGTCAATTTATGTTTATAAATCTGCACTTGTATATTAATTTATTGAACTTACAGATATATACAATCACAATTTATTTCAAAAAATAATTTGTACTGTGATACTGGGTTTATCTAAAAAAAAAATTTTAGCAAATTATCAAGTGTTATCATATAATTTAACCTTACTATAAAAATAATTTATTATCCGTAAATAAAGTAGCAGATACATTTAAAATTAGAATTATTCATCAGAAGTATAATATTTTTAGTGAATCAGCAATTATCAATTTTGTGCTCGTAATGAAAGTCAAACTTATATTTATTATATTTTCATTTTTTCGAATATATGTGAATGAAATTATACTCCTTTTATAATTAACAAACTGCTATTTCCTTTATAAGCAATAATATTTGAATTTTTACATTTCATCTAGCAGTAGGTATTGTTATATATGTATACATTACACAATCTAGATCATATAATTTAATAAACAAAATCATTTGAATCGTATTAACTAAAACTAGATATGTACATCGGGTATTATGAAAAGAAACAAATACAAATATGTTTTAAATTCTATGATCCATTTATTTAAAAAAAAAATCAGTAATGAAACGTACAAAGTAATACATAAAGCAAACTAATATTTATTCGATATGAATGTGAAACTAAAGGAAATAGTATATGATACCATAGGTATCGAATAAATTCGAGAAACATTAGTCGATCCACCATAATGGTGCATTCTTACGTGGATACAAGTAATGTATAGCTAAGCATACATTTGGAAGGCGTTTCCTTTAGGAATATCACATCCAATAAATACTCGCAATAAGTGCCACAAAATGTGTGTGTATAATAATGCAAGAATTAGAAAGGTTATGAGATGTTGGAATTACGAGGAATTCGATTTTTACTCAGTCGTTCCGGACTCAGTATTCTCTGGTTTCTTCTCCTCGTTCTCGGCCTGGCATACAGCCGGCTTGCCGGTATGCTCGATGTTAATTACTCTCTCGCCTTCAGGAACTGATTTCGGTTTACGGGGCACGATGATCGAGAGAACACCGTCCGAGGAGAGCTTCGACGATACCTGGTCGATGTCGCATTGTTCGGGCACCATGTATCGTCTCGTGAACTGTCTGGAAATCCAGCCATGCTCGTCCTGCTTCTCCTCGTGTTTCCCCTCGACGATCACAAAATGGTCGACGACTTTCACATTGATCTCTTCTGGCGCGAATTGCTGCACGTCCAGGTCCACCCGGTAACTGTCCTTGTCGGCGATCACGGTCGATGCACCACCACCTTTACCTTGATGCAATAGTTGACTCCATGGTCTGTAATACGCCATAGGATGTTTTTTCATTCCCTTACCACCCCGTGGAGATAAGCTGTGTAGTTGCATCGCTCTCGGTAGCAAAGATTCGGGATTGATGTTAATGCCAAAATCTTGATCCATCACACGATGGGGACATTCCAGCTCTTCCCACCAGTTAGAGAACAGCAAAGGTAGAAGAGACATCTTGATAACTGAAGGTTCTGAAAATGATTAATTGATTTCGTTACTGGGATTGTTGGATCTGATACGCTGTTTAGTGGATCTTATTACTTTAAAATGGCACAACGAACTTTTGTTAGAAAGCACCGGTTATTGCCAATGCAACTGCCTTGAATGCACTGATGTGCTTTCAGACACGACCGTAGCATTTAACAGGAGGCGCTCCAATCGAACGGTTGAGCATCTAGAAAACTATGTAAGCAGGCGCAAAAGGAAATTTCTTGAATCCACCAGAAAATTCGGACTTTTAACATTTTTTTCTATTTATCTTCAGAGTTATTTGGAGTAGTATTCGATCAAATAATAAAAAGATATCATTTGCTAATCTACCATTACAAATTCATATATTTTAGGGAAAGGTATCAATATCCATTAATAAAAAATTCATTTTGAATCAATTTTAGTTGTGTTTTGTAAATATAATTTGAATAAAATAAGTCTGTTAGCTCAGAAAATAAAAAAATGTATAGAATGCTTTCTAGAAAGAGAGTTTCTAGAAGGTTCATATCTGCACGTAACACGTAATCGATAACGTGGATGTACGACTGACGTGAATTAACACAAATATTAACGTTACACAATGTAATTGCATTGGAATGCGATTACGTTGGAGTAAGGCTGCTTTGAAGACCCTGGTTCCAGACGACCTAATATCAAGCCCACAAAACGATGCTGATATTTAAAATTCTGTAAATAATTTCATTAATATAAGTTAGGTATATTGAAAATTATTTCAAGTTCACTTGGCTTATCATGGATGACAAAAATGATGCCAGTGATAAAAAAGAACAAACTCAGCTGTTTAAGGTAAAGGTAAATGTAAGGAGGGGAATCTTTCACCAGCTGTCTTTGATCCGGGAAGAATGTTTAAGGAAAGCCTAACTAGAACATTTGTCTTCCCATGCGAAGATTCATGGGTAAACAAGTCAAATACTGGACGTACTTCTGCCCTTATACTTTCTCTTAACTAAAGGAAGCCTAAATTGCACGTCAGCGTATCTCATCGTAGCAAATTCGGTTCGTCAAGTATGAAACTGATGTAAGATTGCAATAAAAAGAGAGAAAAGGAAGTTAACCTGGTTCTTTTGCAAAAGCAACCCAAAAGAACGAACAAAAAAAATGATTACTGTTACACAAAAAACAAGACAGAATAAATGCAATGAATGTAATAATTAAGCATTAGAAATTTAATATTTGGACTTCGATAAAATTAATCTTTGAATTTCATGCCACCTTCACCCCGCGAAACTACCCTTATCACTAAAGTTAGGGAACGACCAAGATCTAATATACACCAAGGTTAACTTTTAACGCATTTTTTTTATTAAAAAACAGAGAAAAGTACTTATAACAAGACTTTACAATTTTTACATATATTAAATAGAGTATACATTATTCAGTTCTTTGAACAATAATTACAGTAAAACGCTGTATAAAATAAGATTATACAAGAAGTCTGTACAAAATACAAAAAATATAGGAACCATAGAAGAAATAAAAAAGAGATCAACTCTTATTTCTTCTCAGGGTTCTCGTCAGGTGCGTCTTCCACCGTCACTTCATTTTCTGTCGCTGGTTTCTCGGTCGTGATAGTTTCTCCTGTTGTTGTTGTTGTTAGTGGTGTTGTCGTCGTCGTCTCTCCTCGAATGGCAGGTTTCCCGGTGAACTCTATTTTGATCGTCCTCTCGTTCGGCTTTCCTTCAGTCTTCTTCAACGGCGCTGTGATTGTCAAAATTCCGTCGGAGGATATATTAGAGGCCAGTTGGTTTTCATCAACCTGTTCTGGTAACAGGTATTTCCTGACGAACTGTCTGGAGATGAAACCATGCTCGTCCCTCTTCTCTTCGTGTTTCGCCTCCACGACAATAAACCGATCGACCAGCTTCACGTTAATCTCTTCCGGTTTGAATTGCTGGACATCAAGGATGACCTTGAAGGTGTCCTTATCAGCCATTATGGTCGATACACCACTCTCACCCCGACGGAGGAGTTCGTTCAATGGTCTGTAGTAAAGATCAGTGGCTTTGCTTCCCGGATAGAACCTATCTATCGTGCTGGGGAAGAGTAGTTGTTCAGGGAAGAGCCCCATGCCGAAATTTTGATCCATCAGCCGATGGGGACGTTCCAAATCCGCCCACCATGCAGAGAACAACAACGGTAGAAGTGACATCTTGCGATCGTTGAATCTATTCACTTTTCAGAAAAATTCGTTAACTTGAATACTCAGATAAAATACACAGAGAATACGTTGAAAAAACAACACACACAGAATTCGCTTTGAAAATATCTGGTTCGCTGTCTCGATTGCAACTGGAGCTTTACCCTCACCGACGGCTATTTATGTAGCCTGGCTTTCTGTGTAGTGGGACATTATCTATATCGATGGCTTTCGAGAAGTTACCGGACTAAAACGAAAATATCATCGACGTGTTTTGCCTCCACGTATTTAGGCATGGTAGCTAATTGAACGACGGAATAATTAACGTTCTTGTTTTTCTCTAACCCTTGCAATATCGACCAATTTTCCTAACGATTGCTCGAATCGAATCGCATGTTTTGCGCTTCGAGCACCTTCTACACACGCCGATTGAATCTTTTGGAATTTGTTTTTCTTTGAAAAATTGTTGAACTATTAATTAAAGTATCTTATCAACGGCTTAGTTATTATTTTTAACTGATATTTTATACACGTGCCTTGTTTTTAATTTTTATACCGTACTCTTGTTTCTTTTATTGTGTTATTTCAGGTTCGGGGTCGTTTTTACGATTGTTAAATTTGATTTATAAATATTCTGATGGCTAAAATTATTGGTGTGTTATTCTGTATTTAGAAAAGAGCGTTATAAAACGAATTCGAGGCCCAAATTGACGTGTTTCAATATTATTCGCGCTTGAATAATTTAAATAATGCAATTAAGTTACAGTTTTGATACATTCCTCTTACTTGTTAATTTTACATTAGTAATTTTATAATTTTAATTCAAATTAAAAAGATTTTAAAGAATTTAACATATAATATTTCACATTTCTCATTTATTATAAAAAAAATTGTAAAATTAGAAGATTCCTTCTTATAAACAATATAGTGATCAATAATCTTGTTAAAAATTTTTATAAAATTCTTGCATAAAATCTAAGATATTCAATAATTTCGTCAACGTAACGCAAACGTAACTGTTTATGATTCATATAGTATACATAGGAATGAAAAAGAATCAATATAGACTACCAGCTCAAGAGAATGGAACATTCTGCTACAATCTGGAATTTTCGAAAGTGTTTTTTCACACCACAGGCATATTACCTTTTAATTATATTTTTTAATTAACGTAGCCTATTATAGACGACCTCAATGACCTGAAAATAAATAAATAAGAACCAAGCTTTATTTAACCCGAAACAATACCGTTTCATTTATGTTGTTTATATTATAAAGAAGTGTATTTTTTTTTTTTAAATAAGAATAGAACACTTTGAGCGTTATAGTTTATCGTCAACATCTTCAAACTTTCATATTCCTCGGGTCTTATGTAAACTATCAATATCGAACGTTCTAGCAAATTCTCCTTCTTGAAATTTCGCGATGTTTCCAAATGGATCAATTCTGTATCTTGCGACTGCGCATTGGTGAATCATTTACACGTAGAGATAAGTCAATGGTAACAGAATTGATTCACATTCGTAACACAACTGGCACCTAATGAAAAGAGACCATCCCAAATTAAACAAAACAGAGCCATGTAATTGCGAGGCGTTGTCTCAGCCCCCCTTTCTTTACAAGATAAACGAACATTATTCAAATGACATGTCATTCAATCGAATAAACGAAGAAAAACGGAATGTACATCCCCAGACAAATACCAACAATCTATCAGATCTTCTGGGACGAACTCTAATCCGTGATAAGTTTATTTTTCTTGCATACTTTCTGCGACTATTTTTTTAATGATAATCGTGTAGAAAATAGAAGCTTATCTGTGGGTGATGTATTGCTTTATGCGTAACAGATGCACCGGTGAAATTTGTTATGAAAAACATAATGAAAGAAGATAGGTATATGTAGTTTATTATAGTACAGTGTACTATCACTATAAGTTAAATTTTTATATAAACAAAAGACTGGTATTATTACTATAAAAAATGCATAGATCAATGTATTATAATATTATGTGGAAGATTATTTTCATTAAAATATGAATTCATTTGGAGGATTTTATGTCGTAACAGATATGTGAATTGTTCCATTTTTTATCGCTCGAATGGCTACCCTTCAGGGTTACTACGTCGCAGATGCGGCGTCGTCTCTGTTCTGTAAATAAATATATCGAATAGCGCCGAAATGCGTAGTAACCTTCCCATAACCTTCTCCTCTCATTGTCAGACGAGGGGCTCGCAGGTCTGATATAAGCGGAATGCGAAATACCCGGGAATCGAAACCTGGGAACTGACCAACGCAATTGGTTGGTGTTCTGTTTCTTTAATTCATTCTTTCATAAATTTTACACATTTACATTTTTCCCACGCTTTATCTGAATCATACCCAGAAAATTAAAATTTTGTATCGGTACATTTAATCAATTGATGGGAAGAGCGCTGAAATGGCGTCAATTTAAATTCAATTTTATTTTTTTTCATTTTGATTTTTATTTTATAAGTTTTAGATATGAAAGACTTCCATTTGAAAATTGGCTACCTAATTTTAGTCGAAGGAACACGGTATTTGGATAATCGAGGAGATTGTGTCGCATAAGGCAGATTACTGTCACTGCGACAGAGTTTTAAATCAACTGCAGATAACTTGTTGCAGTTTCTGTATCAGGAAGAATCCTTACATTTGGCATTGTTTGTACCCTTTTAGCGATTACGTGTCGTTCAGCACGGAGGACCATCCGTCATTATATGCAGTTTTGATTCGGGATAAACACGCAGAAACCATTGTCCATTTCTTCCAGCCCATTAACTACACCAGAACGTTGTTAATATTTATTAAAGAAACATTTATTCAATCAATTAAAATAAAACATAAATAATTATGACAAATGTCTCAGAAGCTTAGAAAACTAAAAAAATTATTGTTTCCCTGTGCTGTTTTGTATTATGGTGTTATTGTACCTCATTTGACATAACTTGTTATCAGAAAACGATAAATTATGATTCAATAAATGAATAAAGCAATTATTTTATCGGTACGCATCATGAATTTCTCAGATAATGCTAATATAATGTACGACTTGAAAGTTTCAGCGTTATCGTTAATTATCAGAACAGCCAAAACAAATGTATTAGTAAATATAGTAAACGTAGGAGAAACGAAACGCTGCTGGATACAAACGTTTGTCAGACGTTGCACGAAGCAACGAAAACGTCGATACAAGGCTCAGACAGTATTGAACGTACGACACCTTGAAATTATACAAAAATTAACATATATTGTTAATTATAATTATTAACAATTATTAACAATAATTATTTACAATTATAATTATACTTATAAGTAGTTTTATACATATTACACCATCTATACACAATTTTTACTCTACTGTATAAAAAATTGTCAGTGCATAATAAATTTTTATATGTGATGTGTTAAATTCTATTATATAATATTTCTATTTCCAAAAAACATTGTTAGTTTTTAGCTAGTAATTAGGCTGATATAATTTTGCAATTTCATAGAAATTATTTATTTAAATATACTTCTAAAATCTGAATAGATTTCCGTGAGGTATAAAAAGGAACGTATATTGGCAGAAAATGCGCGGCGGTAAAAATTTCAAATTTCCCTCTCTTCTGTTATATAATCAATAATTATATTCAATGATATTTATATATATGTACGTATATTCATCAGAAAATTCTGGAGGACTTTTAGAGCATTCTAGATCATTCAAGAAACTAAAAGCGACAATTCGAGAATGCGCGTGATCGAAGTTTCCGTGTACTATATATAGAAATTGCATTGCCGGCCGCGCGCCAGTATACAGAGAATAGGCGAGGGGTGCACATCGTCTGCGTGTTCTTGCCGGCAAACCCGTGCTTTTAAGGATTTTTGAAAGAAAAAGAAACCAAACAAAATGAGACGAGGAACGATGTTGATTCCAAAATTATTCTCTCACTGGTGGGAGACTTTGGAACGACCACATCGGTTGGTTAATCAACATTTTGGTAGACAGTTGCGACCGGATCAGTTCATCGAGTCCTTCTTCGAGAGATCGTCGCCGTTTCGTATGTTCCCGTATTCCTATGCGTTCCAACCTTTGTTAGAATTGGAACGTGAAGAAAAGGCTGCTGGATGGTCGGTATTAAAAGACGACAAAGACAAATTTCGAATAATACTCGACGTGCAACAGTTTAAACCCGAAGAGGTTAACGTGAAGGTTGTTGACAATTATATTGTCGTAGAAGGTAAGTAATAAAACATTTTAAAATAAAGATTGTAACAAGATTATTGTAATTACGCGTGGTTTTTTTTGTAAATATCGTGTATGTAGAATGGAAGACCGATTTTTATTGTATTTCTTTTATAGGAAGACACGAAGAGAAGCAAGATGATCACGGTATGATTTCGAGGCACTTCGTGAGGAAGTACCTGGTACCGGAACAATGCGATCCTGAAAAGGCAACGAGTAGTTTGTCTTCGGATGGTGTTTTAACGATAGTAGCACCAAGGAAACCAGAAGCCATTGAAAATAAAAAAGAGAAAATTATCAAAATAGAGAAAACAGGGAAATTGTCAGAGGAACAGGAACAGGAACAGCAGGAACCTCAGAAATTAAAACAAAGCGCATAGAAATTAGTTGTGTGCGTCTTATTTATGTAATTTAGTATTTTCACCTGTTTTTCTCGTGTTCCTTTATAGTGTATGTAGACATAGTGTACGTCTATGGATAATTTTTATATTTTTAAGTTTTGAACAATGAATTTGTACGAATTAAATAAAATACGTCGTAGAAAGGATATTTGTCTACTGTTATATAACCTTTTATGACTGAATAATTTTTAGATCGAGAGCTTCGAAATCGCTGACAACATACTTAAATAGTATATCTTTGAGATGTAAGAAACCCAAATTTTCGGTTCTGATTAAAAGAAAATTGAATTACGAAACTTAAAGATTTTGTGTCAATAATTTGAAGTTTTTATCAAAGTTCAATGCCAAAATGTTTCTTCATTTTATAGAATACAAGGAATTAAAGCAATAAACAAATCTCAGGTGTCTCTTGGATGTATGATGTCAGTTGTCACATTAAGGTTAAATAAAATATGTATATTGTGAAAATAATGTTTTCTATTATCGATAATTACATATGTTTGAATATTTTATAGATTGTCTTTGAGATAGAAGAGGATCCATAATGAATTACGCCGGCTGCTGTGGATCTTCTCGCCAAAACCCTTTGAAATTTGAAAAATACATTGAGTTCCGTACTGATGATTAGATTTCTCAACGTATAATTTAAACCATACTATTATCAGGCAATTTTTACAGAGATAAAATCGCAATCTATTCGTATCGCGTCAAGGTTAGTCATAATGTGCAATTCCATGAACTAATAACTGCAAATTACAACTCAACTATTCTATAGGAATGATATAATCTCAGGAAGCAAATGAAAAATATTTGAATCCTACAAAATTTCGAAATACACTAACGTTCGTCTAATGCTAAGTTAATTTACCCTTGGATACAGTACAAAGGACTAAACCTGTGTTTAAAATGAAAAAAACAAGTTTGAAAACAAAATTTAAAGAACTATGTTTTTATCGCTAAAGTATGGATGTATAGGGAGATTAGGAGGAATACGAAGGATTGAATTAAAGACATTTTAATTTTTTTACTTAGAAATTTATTAACATTAAAAAATGACCATACATTAAAGTCTTCAAAGTCTCATACTGGCAGAGAATATAATATATACATACATACTCTCTAATGGAAACTAAACGATGAGTTATGAAACGCAAATGACAACTTATAAATACATATATGTACTATCATAAACGTTCGCTAAACTTTAATGTAACATACAACACTATGTGATATAATATAAAATTTTAAATTGTGATTAAACGATGAACGACTATAGCGAATAGGAATATTATAAATGGCAGAAAAAGTACATTTCTCCTTCACTTCTTCTCTTCTTTCTTCTCCTCGCCGCCCTGCTTCTGCTGCTGTTTCACGGGTTTGCTCTGGATTGCCGGTTTGCCGGTATGTTCGATCTTGACGGTTCGCTCGTTTTCAAGCTTTGGCTGGTCCTTTCTAGGTGCGGTGATTGTGAGTACACCGTCGGATGACAGCTTCGACTGAACTTGGTCCACGTCGCACTGTTCAGGTATCAGGTATTTTCTCATGAACTGACGGGAGATCCAGCCGTGTTCATCGCGCTTCTCTTCGTGTTTCGCAGAAACCATCACGTACTTATCGACGACTTTCACGTCGATCTCATTAGGCTCGAACTGTTGGACGTCGAGCACTACCTGGAACTTGTCCTTATCAGCCTGGACGGTGGACGTACCCGTTTCGTTGGTGCGGAGTAGATCAGCCCATGGTCTGTAGTAGGAAGCTCGCCTTCTGGGTTGAAGATAATGATCCATGCGGCTCGGTGACAACAGTTGTTCCGGATAGAGGCCCAAGCCGAAGTTTTGGTCCAGGAGCCGGTGCGGGCGTTCCAAATCCTCCCACCAGTCAGAAAACAGCAATGGTACCAGAGACATGATTTTTATTTCTTGATCTTCTTTACTTAATGAATTTGAATATAACGTATTTAACCGTAGGCGCTATGTAGAATTCGCGTGAAACTCGCTCAAGTTTTGCGATCTTCACTCTTTGGTTGCTATTCAAGTACTGCCTGCTACGGTCCCCGCCACTCGTATTTATGCGCGAGCTCGCGCAGGTCTCGACGCTTCGCGAAGTTTCGAGAATCGAGCGGCTACCGAGGAAACGTTGAATCGCCGGCTCACGTATGTACGCAATTTTATTTGAATTATTCTCTGTTTATGTGTATAATTAACCAATGTGAACCTAGGCGAATACGTTTATATATTATTTATAACCGATTCTGCAGAATTTTATTTTTTTCCAGAGCCTTCTTCTTTGGGTTTGTTTTGGTAAATTTTATATGGTTATATTATAATTTTTTTAATGATCCTTTAGAAATTGCATTATTTCAACACTTCTGAAATGAATTTTATTCGCGATTTGTTATTTTAAATTTTTTGATTGAAATAATGTAGCCAATTACTCTCAAATGTAGGTAATTTGGTTTTATTTACAGCAGGAGGTGGAAAGGTCGTTTAGCTTTGTGAAAGCAAAGCATGTTTGTATTGCTAAATATAAAAAATGTTTTTAATTTATGTTTACATGAATTATTTCAGTTATCTTTAGGATGATAGTTTCTGAATTCTAACGTGTAAATTTAAGTTAAATTAAATGTTTTATTAATTGTATGACAGCAATATCGTTTAAAATTTAATTGAAATTTAATAATGTGTTTCAATATGTAATATCCAACATTATTTTACTACAATAAAGCGTTTAAATTAAAGAATATTCATATGTACAGTTCTAATCTCAGTTTCTATAGCTTTACTGTTCTAGATTTTAAAGTTTCTAGTCATTTCCACGCCCTGAATTTTCTAGTACAAAATGTATATATGTATATATACATCCACTAATCTTAAAAAACAATATAAAATAAAAACTTTAATTGCTATTCATGTTGTATAAAATATGATATAAATAATATATCAACATTTATCTGTAAATATCATAAACATAACTAAGTTCCATTTTCAAAACAATTTAAAATTTAAGCTAGATCTAACAAATTTTTTATTGAATACAATTTTTAAGACATTTCAACGCATATATTTTGTATTATGTTTTCTTTTTTCAATATTCTAGGAAAATTATATTTGATAATAGTACATTATTCTAAGCACTATCAAAACATAAAAATAGCATTTCATTACATAAAGAAGAGGTATTATACAAGATTAAACATCGACTAAATTAAATTTTACATTAAATTATTATATGTTACACAGAAAATTCAAAATATTATTTAGACGAGCCGGCTAGATATTCGCGCGTTTTTTGCAACTGCCATGACAGACAGAGTCTGATGAGTGCATTTCCATTATTCTCTGAAATAGCATTGATATTTTGATCAAGTGACACATATCCTGAATCTTTGTACTTTCTAGAATCTTGCTTTTCCATTCCACATGTTATAAATGATCGTATTTGCTCGTTATTTTGAATTTTGCATTGCATATCTCGAAAGCTCGACTTCGGGAAAATTCTATATGCTACCGTTTACTAATACCCCCACTACGTTCTTGGACGAAAGCGATATATACCCGCGCGCAGCGGCCATTGCAAGTAAAATCGAAGCAAGCTCTTGAAGTGGCGTTTTACTGTTGCAAAACTCTTGGTGCATTTCAAGTGCGAAAGTGTACGAGATCATCGTGCATTGAACTATTCAAGAAGTGAATTACGAATTCCAAGTGAAAGAGACAACAGACTTTGTGCCAACAAATTCATATTTTGCTGGAGGTTAAAGAAATAAAAGAAGAATGTCTCTTATACCGATGCTATTCTCCAACTGGTGGGAGGGTCTGGATAGACCTCATCGCTTGTTCGATCAGAATTTTGGATTACCTTTGAGTCCTGAGGATTTGCCCACAACTTTGGTTCCGTACGACCCGGAAGTTATGGTACTCAGACCTCGTCGCCGGGGACTCCGAAGATTCCAGCCCTACGAGAGAGCCTTAGAACGCAAAACTAGTGGAACATCAACGGTACAAGCTGACAGGAACAAATTCCAAGTCACACTGGATGTTCAGCAGTTTGCTCCAGAGGAAGTGACTGTTAAAGTTGTGGGAAAGAATGTAATTATCGAGGGAAAACACGAAGAGAAGCAAGACGAGCACGGCTGGATTTCCAGACAATTTGTACGAAAATACCTAGTACCCGAACAGTGTGATATTGATCAAATTCAATCCAGTTTGTCATCTGATGGAGTGTTAACAATCACTGCTCCAAGGAAGGAACCGGAGTCAAAGAATGAAAGAGTTATCAAAATCCAAGCCACAGGACAGCCTGCTCTGAGGGAGGATGCAAAATCAAATGAAGTACAACAGAATGAGAAACCTTCACCCCCAAAGACTCCAGCACAACAAAGAGGACAGAAGGAGCATACAGTCAAGGCTGCTTAAGAAGATACTTATTCATTTAAAATTGGTTGCATTTTAGCATCACACATATTTCATCTTCATAAACAGTATTTTCTCACTTCATCCCTTTTATATTAACTTCTACCATTTTTATTCATTCCATTTAAGTTGAGAGAGTTGTGTTTTAGTTTTTTTTCTTTTTCAATTTTTCGTTCCTATAAGATCATACTTTAGATTATTCAATTTCATATCTTAATAGACATATAAGAAAACTCTTGTTTTTTATCTATTGTATTTAAGATTAATTTGTCATAGTGTTTTGTAATAAAAGTATTGTTTTTATATAATTCTTGGTATTTATTATCCCTTAGGTTAGTACATAATTATAGGAAAACAGAATAAATTGTACAAAAACAGTTTTTATTAAAACTTTAATATAATTGTACATTTGTAATAAAAAGAAATAAAATCTAACAGTTAGTATTTGATATAAAATTAAAAAATGATTCTTTGAAAATGGACGGCAGTGCGCGACGTGTTAAAATATAATTATGTTCAATAAAACAGTATAAACTGTACAATAATTATTCATTTATATGTTAAATGACCTGCACTGCATACAAATCTTTCAACAGAACTTACATGATACTGTTTAATTATACAAAAATAGTAATACTTTAATTTCTAAAGATCTTTTGGACGGAATATCATTTCTCTAAGCATAAGTTTTTAACTATATAGATTCTAAGTCATTTGCAGAAATGTTAGTGATGTTTTTGTTGCAGATCTGAATGAGAGTGTTGTTTTACATTAATTATTTGGTAACATAACAATTCTTAAACGGCTTATTTACACTATACAGTGTGTTTTTGACCGGGTGGTATTTCATCAAAATTTCTTTAAATTAAAAAAACACGTAGCGCTATCTACTGTTTGATGTCAAAAATTAGTTTTTTGATTCTGCCGATAGGGAGCGCAAAAAATTTGTCTTTTTTTCAGTACTCCTTTCCAACACCAGGTGGTGCATTTTACAGTGCCGGTCTTTTAAAACAGAAATTTTGACAAATTCTCAGCACCAGGTCAAAACATCCTGTATATACACACGAAATGTATTAAGTTAATACACCAGAGAAACTTGAGATAAATTTCACGGATTCAATGTATGCAAATGAATTTAAGTAAACCTGAAATGTAAGTATTTGATATTTTCATAAAGTCCTATGATGCAAATTGTGTAGCAATACCTATAAGTAATAATAGTGTTGAAATTGTAATACTGGCAGCAGTATTACATCTATGATCAAAGTAACAGAAACACCATGTTACTTCATCATAGTACTCCCTATGAATATCTAGTTGGAAAATGGAATTATTTACGTAATGTCCCAATCTAACATCTTTGGCAGCTGGTCTACAGCCTTCATATCTATCAGCTGGAATGTCTGTCCTAAAACCACGTACAGAGCTTAGACACTCACGTGTTATCACAGTCTCAGCTGAAATACATTCAGAAAATATAATTATACACTGAACATTAAAATATTAACAAAATATCCTTATTTATATCCTGGTTTTACCTTCTTTCTTTTCAATAATTTTTACACATTTATCGTCATATTCTGGGCAAGTTTCTCCCCAGTACCATAACCAATTCAAAGGAGTGCCACACCCAGGTTGATTACTGTTACATCTGTAACAGTATAAACTTTCCCCTAAAAATATAATTGTACATGGTAAATACATCGATTCGCATTAATCATACTCTTTGTACAATAATTAAACTATTGTTATACCTTCAGTAATGAGTACACTTAAAAGGAAGACAATAATAAAGGTTGATTTGTTCAGTTTCATAACTGATGTGTATAAAATAACGATAAATGGTCACAAATTACGTAATACAATGACCGTAATTCAAATACACAATAAGAAAAAGTGGAAATATTTTACATATCACATGAATGATGCGAAAACGAACTCAAGTTTATGTTTTTACTTGGTATTTCTTTCAACTTGGAGTATACTGATGCCTACTTGGGATCAGATCTTGGTACTTTCTTGTATGGTTGTTGGTATTACTTTGTTAGAAACCCTAGTTGAATTTGTGATTTTTCAAAATGAAGGGGCATTATTTGATTCGTACTAACGATCCAGAATATTTTACTGACTCCAGAAAGTTAAAAAATTTAAATATTTCTGGGAAACTAAGGAGGATTTAGTTATATTAGTACCGAATGTTCCACAATAGATGGCTATAGCGCTTTTATGCCTCAGACACTGTTATTTCATTTTCGTTATAAGGGCTTTAAACAAAGTGTAATGCCACTTTTTGAGCAACATTAGGACCATTGAATGTTTCAATGGTTCTATTGTAGCATAAATATCACTTAGTTTGCGAAAAAGCACAATCTTCTATTTCATTAATTTTTTACTTCACCGCTAGATAGCAATAGTAGTACTATTTTCAAAGAGCGCGTGGGTGCTAATATAAAATAAAATGCATAAAAATAAAAATGAAACTTATAGTACAGATCAACTAGATCCTTAAAAGCAAGGAAGCTAGAAGCAAATATTTCCTTAAATATAAAAAGCCAGCACGTTAAATTAAATATAAGAAATTTTAATTCAATATTGATTGACCCATCATTTTAATATACATTAATTTCTACAATAAATAAAATTCCCTGGTTCTGTGAAATATCTAACCAGGCGAAGTAAACGTGAAAATTAGTCGACCAATATCTCGCAGCGATTCTCGCCATAAGAATCGGTGGCACTATATTACGATCGTTGGATATCGTCTTAGAGAAGTCGTCCTTATTGTCGCCGGGCGAGATCTCTAGATTTTGTCCTTATCCTCGGACAACCGGCGAAAACTTTTACGATAAACTCGACGGAAATGTTCTTCCTACCCTTTTCCGGCTTTTCCATTCGAACACTGAAAATGCGATTCCGTAATCTTGAAGTACATATATATACATAGAGTTACACCTCCTTCTTCCTTGTGTCGTTTCAGATACTTGGATATAGATACGGAACGAGAGGTAAAGGTTTGAACGGAGGAAATATGGAGAGAGGTCGAAGGGTTTTGGATATCTCATGGATTCCAGGAGTAGCCGCCTGAGGCGTTTAACCAATTAGCTAACTCCACGGTACTTCACCCTCGAAACCGCTAACGAAGAACCTAAGCGAACGAAGAAAACCGGGAGGATAGAGCAGGAAGAAGAGGAGGGGAAGAAGGAGGAGGAAAATCCAGATATTCCTCGCGGGGTGGATTCTACTTCCTGCATGGATGATTCGCCCGCAGCTCTTCCCGCCGTTTCTACTGCTCTCCCGAAGGACGGGTGTTGCTTCTACGTCGTCAGTTTTACTTCGTCTTCTGTTTATTTTCGTAAGACGTTCGCGATCAACTAGATTTCGAAGAGCACACTACCGTTTAAAAATATTTGCTCAGGTGCATATTTAATTTCTACACTTTCACATAAGTGAATTTTCTAGATCCATAAGTTTCCTTTCCTCCCAAATTTACGATTCAAGATTAGCATTATCGGGCTTCATTTCCAATTGAGATCATCTCCATTCTTTACCCTCTGTTTCTCCTCTGCTTTTATTTCTCCAAAGTTTAGACCAGGGAATATAAGGGTAGTTCAACGAGACCGTTAAGTTTCCATCTTGGTTGCCATTTAACGCTTTGGAAAGAGCCTGGAGCGGCGAAAGCGGTAGACAAGCTGCTGGGATGGAAAAAAAAGAAGGCAGAAAGAATGGGCGGGAAACAAAATACGAGAAACTTACGGTGGATAAAGGATACAGGTATAGAACTCAATAACACTTAAAAATCATTTTAATTGTGTTAGACGAAAAGACTAATTAAAAGATGGTAATATAATTTTGTTACACAGAAGAATAGCAATTTCCTCGAACGCGACATTAGTTTCATGATAGTCTTTGCTTATCGTGTCGCGGCACGTTTAAATTCCTGTTTATCGAGACACCGAGTAAATTGCCTTTGAAGGAGTGCTCTACGTCGCGGAGAGATTTATCGTTGCACCAACTTCCGTGGACTTTTCCTCGTAGGAAGCGAGACGATGCTCTCACGTCTGTTGCGACGTGACGGCATAACTTTGCATAGACCGATATGAGTCACCTACACGTCATTCGTATGTACAAACCTTTCCAGTCGAATCTTATGATCGAGATAAGGCGTTCGAGTGTTCGGCTACGAGCCACGACTCGTTGGCATCTGCATCGCGTGATAAGCTGCGACGCGAATACGAAAGAGTGTGTCCCTTCTCTGCAAATTTATAGGGGATCTTCTTCCTATACTGTTTCACCGTGCAAACGCACCGAAACCGATCGCATTTTAATGCTACGATCACGCAGGAAATTGTAATTTTTGGGAAAATGTTTATTCATCTTTTCTATGAGTAACCTTCAGTGTTTGGAAATTAACCTTTAAAGGTGTCTATAAATTGAATAATATAACAAAGATTTCATATAAAGGTAAAAAAGTTCGAACAAAATAAGTAATTTTTCAAAAATTTATTTCAAATAAAGTTGCGACATAATATCCTCCTGAGGTTACAGTGGTACTAATCTGCATTCTAAGACGAACTTCTTTTATAGTAGCCAACGAAGGCTTCTGATTGGTCAGCTAAGTCTTCAAAGTTTTAGTTGATCAGTTGACCAATCAAAACATCGGCAATGACCACGTGACAGGGGTAGTATATAAGGACGGTGCCCCCATAATTCACTGTTCACTTCGAACTTTCGAAGAGTACAGAGTGTAACATAGTGTTTTATTATAAAATAACCATCAAACGCATTTTACAAAGGTTTGTTTAAAACAAAATAAGTTAATAATCAGGATAATAATTGATTAACAATCAATAATTAAGCACAATAAATAACTTAACAAGTTCTGTTGCAGGTTATTCTTCGTCCTCTTACCTCGTCGTCTCTTCTGCGAATCAGAACTGTCGAATTTGAACCTCATGTCGCCATCTTTGTTAATCGATCGAAGGATCGATTATAGCACTTATTGTGACAGGACGTGTTGACAGCTTCTTCTACTTTTAGGTAACTACTTTGCATTAATTTACATTAATCTCTTCTGGATTGCTTGTATCCATACTTTCTGTACTTTACTTTATATTTTATAAGATTTTTACATGAATTAAGAAGAATCAATCATTTTATTAATATTTCTGCCCTTGCGTTCCGCGTGCATGCTATGTATAACCTAGTTAAGTGGTCATATCGATGTTGTATGATACATATATTGATTTTTGTATGAAATTTTGTAGAAAACATTATAAATTTAACGATGTTAAGTTATGACACCGTGTTTTTATTGTAATATTGTAGAGGTGTTTAGTATGAGACTACATTAAGAGGGAGAGAGAAGAGTAGGAATGGCGCAAAAACGCCAGATTCGAAATTGCTAGCGCTCTCTATACTCCACGAGGCAAATTGAAATACGGGGGCACAGGGAACAACTGGTAAGTTACTTTCATTCCTCTTTTTTAATATATATTAACGAAATTAATTGTATTCAAATCATTCTTATAATTACTTAGCAGTGTTTCGTATATTTTTGTCTTAAATAATGTTTTTTATTTTTTATTTTGTTACAGACTGCACAAGTTTGTTGAAGCTGCTGGACCTTCCTTGATGACATTCGAGATGACCTTCTTGATGACTTCCTTCTTCTCCTATATGGCAATCTCCTAGCTGGTTGTTGGCATCCTCCTACCTGGTTGTTGAGCATCCCACTACTTGACTGTTGCAAGCAGATTTTCGCTACTATCGGTGAGTTGCATGCTTTATGGTTCCTCCGGTGCCCAATCATGCCGTAGGACGAATGGTCCGAAACGGCACGGGTCACTGGTTGTATATGTGGTTTTGGCGAGCATAGTGACCATGGGTATGATTATACTCATGAGTAGTAACACTTTTATTGTGTTTCATTTTCTTAGTTCAGGCTAGGTCTTCTTGTACTTCGCGTTTATTAATACAAATATTATTTTAAATCTGTATATTTAAATGGACATATAAAAAATATGTATATTAATATTTTTAAATATTCTAAGTTCTAATGTTGAAATAATTTGGTTATTGATTTAATTATGTTTAGTATAGTGCTAATTCGAGTACAATTCGAGAATTTTGCAACAGTATTAAAGTTTAATTTATTCTGTATTGAAGTAACTTATTTATACTTTCGTGAAAAGTATAACAATTCATGTGCAAGAAGACATTTCGCGGCGGGTAGATTTCCAAGTCAGAGCAACACGCTTGAACACCTTTTGTGTACCTATTCTTGAAAATTTGCTCTGAGGAGGGAGTCGCCTGAGGATGTTTTAATCTTTTTTTATTTTTCAGAGTAAATTTTTTTTTATTACAAAGAATTTAAGATTAGAGTCATTTTGCTTTTAATAAAAGTCCTTTCCTTTTCAATCAGTTTATTTCAATTAAAATCTTCCTTTTCAATATTTTCTCTTAAAGCTTTATATTTACAAAATTGAATCACCTTTATTAAGAACCAAGTAATTGAAAATGATGAAATAAAAGCTCGTTAGATATTTTTATATTAATGCACTTTTTCAGTTGAGGATTTTCAGGTTTAACTATTTCCGTGTTTATTGCCAAAACGCATTCAAGTGCCCAGGTGCTACTTGGATGGGTAGAGGCAACGGACACGATGACCTAGTTTATAAGAATAATAATTAATAAGCGGCTGGCATTGTGTTAGTATATCGAGCACGACGTAATTTCCACATGTGTGTGTGGTTAGGAAGTGGGATTGCGTCGGTTTAATAACTTTTTCATTTAACTTTTAATTGAAATAATATTTTATTCAACAAGAAGAACGATAAACGTACAAACCAAATACTATTATTACCATTACTGTTACCTTTGCCATATTATCATTACTATAAAATATTTTATATCAAAGTAGTTAAATGAATTTTTTAATTATCATTATACGCAATGATTGCTAGCCTTGCCAGACGATTTCAGTGAAAAATGGTACGTACTTTAGAGTATGTTGTGAGATGTAGCTCGGGTGACGGAGGCGTCCCGGGACGTTCTCCCTAGTTTAGGCTTTTGCACCCGGGTGGAGTGTTTGAAAGCCGTGGAATGAGTTTTTGTGAGAATGAGACTTTGTCTTTTTTTAAATATAGGGTTAGGTAGGTAGGTAGCTTACCTTCTGGAGTGTGTGTGCTAGATTGTAAGTAGGTAGGGCCAGGACAGGTTGTCACAGTCTCTCGGTCGGGTAGGCGCGATTTCGCGTGATCAACCTGTACCTGGAATATATTTGAAGAATTGACAATACAATCGACGCGAACGGAGTACGCCGTTCGGTTTTGGTTTTATCTGTCCAATTTTTCAAATTTTTGGCGACTTCTCAGTCGTCATGCATGGTCGAAATGATAGAGTTTCGATCATTTAGAGTTAAGTTTCAGTTGGGCGGACCGCCCGAAGAAAGAAAAGGCCATGTGCCGAAGAGCCCCGGTAAAATTTGCCATTGAAAAGGGGAACTACTAATGATTTTGCATCCTTTTGAAAAGAAGGATGGGAAATCATTATCGTTACTACTTTGTCACTGTGCTCGCTTGTAGTTGTAGTTTCATAATTTCAGGAGAAGAGGGGGCCCGTGACCTCCATGATTTTGGGCAAATCGTGGTATCAATGTAGTGTTGCGAACATTTATCGCGATTGAAATTAGAGTTGCGAATATTTATCGCGATTTTGATTTAGTGTTGCGAATTTTGAATGTCGTGCTTGCTCCTTTTTACTTTGCTTCAAGATACAGTTTTGTTTTGTAATGTTGATTATATTAGCGAGGCGTATAGAAAATTCACTGCTCGTTTTGAAATTATTTTTTTTGAATTTTAGTATTGTAATTTATTGAATTTTAATTATGTTTCTGTTAAAAATAATGTTAGGAATAAAAATAATTTGCAGAATTTTTTAATAATTAGCGTTGCGATAATGAATATTCGGGTTTTTGCATTAGTGTTGCGATATATGATGGAATGCCCAAAAATGATTCAGTGGAAGCTGTGGTGGACCAGAAGGCAGCTATCGCAGCTGCCCACCTGCTCAGGTACAGCCTTTAATTGGTTGTACTATTATAAAATTCGTGAGATGTAAACAGAGTTGCGAAAAATACAGTTCACGTTTTTTATTAAAGATTTTGCTGTTTCATATTCATTGAATTAGCGTTGCGTATAATGGAGCATCCTGCTCTCGGGAGTTTTTGCATTTTATAATTTGTAAAATTAGTGTCGCGTATAATTTCGAAACTTAAATGTATAGGAATTTGACATGGATACAAGGAGTATTTTTATAAAATACTTATTATTTTTATAAGTTTTTATTGCAGATTAATATCTTTTCTCGGAGGCATGGATTGACAGTGCTGATTAAAATGGAATTCAATACTGCATTATTTATTTCTATGGTACGTTGTGGTTAAAATTGTTCGGTTATGAATTTTTAATATTCTTTCTCAAAGATCTAAGAATATATCTTGCATATACATCAAAATGTTAATAGTCTTCGACAACGGTCGTTGGCTTATTGTTTTACTCGTTGAAACTTGCTGAATAATTTATTAATACCCGTACACATTGTTAGTTCTTAAAAATGTAAAAGAATTTAGCGCCAAAGGAAATAAACCTCGATCAGTAACAACACTGTTAGGAAATAATTATCGTCACGAAATATTCCCGGGAATATAAATTAATTTTTGCCAATGAATTATACCAGTTTTTGTCGACTTTTATCGTTCATTAATTACATCCATATTGCAACGAGTGAACCAGGAGCAGCGTTAACACGAGCAATCAGTACATCTGTTCCTACGTTCAATTAATTTTGAAATAATCGATACAGAACGCGTGTGTAAATTGCCGATCGCTTCGAAATTCTATCGATAACATTCTCACGCTGGCTACCAACGGCCAGGCAGAATAGAATTTCTGGGTCGCATCCATATTATTCCGTCTCTCGCGCAATTTACGAATATCGACGATTCGGATGCATTTTTTTTTCTGCGCATGATCGCTGAATTTTTTTTGGATCTAGGAAAAAAAAATCTACTGTTACATTGTCGAACGATTCAGCTCTTATAACTTGTAACCATTGGCGTAACTATGTAGGGGCCAGGTTGGGGCTGATTCCCTAAACATCTGGACTGACACTTTTCTAAAAATATGGATCTTCACCATTCTGAAATCTTAAGATCCAAATTCTTAACTTTCTAAAATTCTAAAATTTCGAAATATCAGGATATCAATATCACCAAATTCCAGAATTCCAAAATTCCAGATTGTAAAAATTCTCAAATTTCTAAGAGACCTCAAATATGTAATCGAAATTAAAGTCATTCTCAGATTATCAAATCTTTAAATAAAATCTTTTTTAATTGGTTTGTTATGATACATTTTTAGAAACGCTCTGTATATTCTCCTAGCTTAGTCTTTTTTTTATTCTGTGAAAAAAGTAGAGATTTGATTCACATTGTTGTTTATTCCGTCCTGTATACGGTAGGTTTGCAACGTATAAAAAAAGACCCTTCAGCACGGTTGCTGCTGAATTTGGTGTTTGTTGGAACACATGAGGGGGGTCGAACACGGGCCGTGTTCGAGATATCGTTGGATATACCCCCAGCATCGAACACGATGTTCATACCCCCCTCCGACACCCTACTTCTCGATAGCACTCTTCCACGCATCGTTTCGAGATAGAATTTCGATTTGCAACACGTACGCCTGTTGTATAGCAGCGAGAAAAAAATCCGCGAATTGGGCCACTAGACCAATACTGCATTTTTTATTCGTTTTGCCATTCAACCATCCCCTTTTGTCCCGTTCCTTTCGCCAGATGATGTATTGTTACATATATGGAACTTGTTAATTTTTCAAGCATCTAGCTTTTGCTGATTTTATTTTTCCGAATCAAACGCTGAGAGAGAAACAAAAGAAATTTGTATCACATTGCATTTCATTAATCAAATTTATCTATTCAAAAAATTTCGATTCAATTTCTACTCGTCAAAAATCCAATTACATTCATTACAATCGCTGATATCGAGAACAAATCCGCGCGTGTTAACGTTGACAGGGAACTTTCACTTTATTTCCCGTATTATCTAGATTAATTAATTCGAATTCGCTGTTGGAATTCGCGTAATCCTTTTGGACTGTGCAGTGTGCATCGTTGCACCATTGAAAATTGTAAATTAGCGATTTTGCAGATAATTGTCGTGTCTCGACGGTGCTCTTCCCTTTCTCGTTTTTCCGCTGTGAGAGGCACAGTAGCCGGAATAAATATTGGGAGAAAGAGAGACAGGAAACGGGCCAGTGTTCCGGGAAAAGTCTCTCGTGTACCGCAATTGTATCAAAATATCAATGCAAGTGCGCATTGCCGTTGATACGATTATCGAAAGCCATATCGAAAATTGATGCGTTTTTATTGCAGTGTAACACGAAAATCACGGCGACGTTATTGAAATTTTCCGCCTAACTTTTCTTTTTTTTTCCTCCATTTCCCTCGTCATGTAAATCGAGGTAATGGATCGTCGCGAACGGTCAAACGACACAAACACCGAATATTTAATACGCGATCATTTCGAATATAATTGAAAATAGTCGATGTACAGTTTATTTTAATCATTTAATCGATTACGAGCGGCACGATAATCTTCCATTTTAATTTCGGTGTGTTCGCGAGTTAAATTGAAAAGCAGTATTTCCGTTGTCGCGTTTTAATCGCGTTATTGATCCCTGGGGCTTCCTATCGAAAATAATCTACTCGGAAAATTAGTGATTTTTATCGAGATCACTTTTGCGTTATTTTATGCACTCCGCGAATAATAATTATACTGTAATCGATGCAATTTCCTTTTTCGTGAATCTGTGCCAACGATACAAATAAAAATAACGTGGTAAGCTATAACGATATCGATCCTGAGACGAGATAGAAAATAAAAGAAGAAGAGTTAGAAACTCGTGGCGATATTTTGATACGCAATT